TATCAGAAGGGACTGTTTCAAGCGTTCAATGGCAAGCTAATGAAGCTTTATTGTTGTGTTGAATTAACTACTGTCTTTCCAGCCTATTGATAACAAGTATAGGAACAATATCCAGTATATACAGCAAGGAAATGATATAACAGCCAAAGCAAAATAYTACCTCTAAGGCTTGCCTGAGAAAAGTTCKTTTTTCTTGTTTAGCCCAATCAATGCACTCCAAGCAAAGTTCAACCTGTATTAATGAAATGTTAARATATAAAAACTTCATCAGATAAATGTATAGAAAGTCCAATAAAAACTTGTATTAAGATCTACTGATAAATTTGTTACTATATCATATAATGGTGAAAATACACRAAAGTTAAATCTTTCCCTCTCATATTCTTGGCAAGCAAGTTACACTGTACGTCATCACCGCCATGTTGGATGACAATGACAAAGCATTCCTCATTAGTTTCTCTTGTTCATTCATCCAACATGGCCATGATAGCTTTGTTCTTTATTTCTCAGGGAATTCCTGGTCATGTGGTTACACACCAAGAATAAATGCACCACAGTATAGCAACACACGTTTCAACAATGTACTCCCAATATATATGTGTAAAGAGTGCCATGTATCAGTAATTATGTCTCAAGCTAATGATAACTAATCATATTTCTAAATATTTCCATACCTCCATGCCTGTTGTAGCCTCCATATCAAGAAAACAGTCTACTAATGTTCTGACAAGTTTAGCTGCTTTGGCCTTTGACACTAATTGAAGGAAAGGTCTTATGAACTTGATAAGACCTCCAAGCTCTGTTGAGATAATGAGTTTYTCCTTAAAGTTATTGTCACATGTGACCCTGTGGGTAGGTACATGTATTTAATAGAATGGAGAAATTTTTGGAGCTCATACGTGAACGCACAGCAAAATGTTCTAAAAAATGAAAATTGTGCGAAACCAAATACATGTACAGCAAACCCAATGGTCATCAAACAAAGACAATGCATTTCACAGTGGGATTTTTACAGTTAAGTTAGCTTAAGCTTACTAGTAAGTATACCCGGCGTAACTAATCGATGAAAATCGATCATCGGAAAGCTAATCGATAAATCGATATTACTCGATATATCAAACTGATTAGTATTGATTAGTATCGGTAATCGATAAAAATCGATAATCACAAAAAAATATAGAGATATCGATTAATGTCGATTGCTTTCACTGAGTACCCAAAAAAATCTATCAAAAACACAGTTTTCGGCTACGTTCACACGGGGCCGGTTCCGTTCGGAACCGTTCTAGGCGCGCGTTCACACTGGAACTCTGGAACTGGACTCTGGCGTCATGYCATGCTGCGTCAAGTGTTCAGGGTTGGGGCCGGCTAAAAGCTGTTCCACTTTGAGGACGGCTCACATCGAAGCATGAACGGATCCGTGTAAACACTGTTTCAATCCGTACCGAAATGTGGACGGTTCCGCGTGAACAGTGGAAACTGTCCTAAAACCGAGGTGTCCTCAAACTTGACCGGCCCCGTGTGAACGTAGCGTAATTATTTATAAGTAAATTCAGTACAGATAGGAAATCGATAAAAATCGATGAAAATCGATAAAATCGATAATCACAGCAAAGCTGAATATCGATTTTTATCGATTTCCGATAATGATCGATCGATTAGTTACGGTTTGTATCGATTAGTATCGATTTTATCGATTAATAGATTTCATCGATTAGTTACGTCGGGAAGTAAGTTATATAGTAACAATTTATTTTATACTCGGTAAACTAAGTCTTATTAATCTAGTACCTTCAGCTTTGTTTGTCTTTGAAAGTAATGTAGATAGGTTAAGTATTGCTTGCTCCTTCATTTTTAATCCCTCATCATCATCACCAGTGATATTTCTCTTCACTGTAGCAAAAAAGAGGAGAATGAAAAAAAGCCGGTTCAATGACTGGGTCCCTATTTAATGTAGTCGACTACAAAATTACATAAAAATAGACAAATTTCAAAATAAATTTTAAAACAATTAAAGAAATTAAGTTACAATAAGTACATCTGTGGTTTACCTATAGAAGAAAGAAGCTCCATGGCTTCTTCAGGAGAAGAATTCTCGATTTCCTTCGCTCTTTCAAGTTCGTTCGCCATCTTGAAAAAAAAAAATCCTACCCGTCAGCCCATGCAGGTAAAAATGTCAAGTCACGTAAGACTGGGAACTAGTCACACAGGCAGCCCATGAAATAGCTAAAACCAGGATGGGCTCCTGCTAAAACAGATTACAGTTAASTCTCTTTGAACGACCACTCTTGTAAGCGACCATCTCCCGTAAGCGACCACCTTTAAAATTTCCAGTTTTGTTTCCCATATAAACTCAAAAATACTCTCTCGTAGGCGACCATTCTCGTAGGCGACCGAGACCACCTTTGGGATTGAAATTGTAGAATTTKTCATTGTTTTTCCTCTCCCGTAAGCGACCACCAACGACTGACGCAATAAAGGCGTGTGTTTAATTTACTTACAAAGCTTACACAAATCATAACTCTATTAAGAAATGTAGTACATTTCTTAATAGAGTTACGTTACTTTATAGAGAACAAACCATAAAATCGTACTATTAAATACACTATATTGTTTTCAATAGAATTAGGACATTATCCACTTCAAGAATTTTAAAAGGAATGGCATGAAAGCAGTATTATTGTTCAAAGATTTTATACACTGAAATTCGAACATCGTGTTTTGAACTATTTGGGCCTCCTGTGTTGTGATTATTATTGTTTGGGTTTCCTGTGCTAACGTTCTCGTGAGCGACCATCTCTCGTAAGCGACCACTTTTTCCTGATCCCGAGGTGGTCGCTTACGAKAGAGTTGACTGTAGTTTCTTCGTTGAAAGTGTGGMAACATCAAAGTTTGTCCAAGATCGCATCGACACCCGAAAGCGGGAATATATTGGGAAAGGGGCATGTTCCCCCGAAAAAAATTGAAATTTAAACCGTCAAAAATGCGATTTCCAGCATTTTCAGTGATATTGACAAGGATGTTTTCAAGAAAAAGGGGGTACCGCGGCCCCTTCGACCCACCCCTAAGTCCGCCCCTGGGGCATGAAAAAGTGATCTATTTTATACACGATCGCGAAAGAACGGAGCGTTAATACAGAAAAACAGTGATCACGTGATCCGTTTTGAAGTTTGACGTTCGCCGTAAACGCGTATCTTAAGCAATAAACGATAGCTTGAAGGGGTTTACTGGCGAAATAAACCGCGCGGGAAGGTTGGGAGAACACGAGAAAAGATCTGTAATTCACGAGCCGTCAGGCGAGTGATTTACCTTTTCGAATTTTCTCCCAACCATTCCAAGCGGTTTATTTCGCCAGTAAAYCCCTTTAAGCTATCGTTTATTGCTTTTAGATTATAGCCGGCTCCGCTAGTTTCACCCCTATAAAAGATATAACACCCCCTCATAAAGTTAAAGGGGATTTCTCACTCCTCATTTGGGTCTATTGAGTATCAGAAAAACGATTTTAGATCACTGGAATCAGTAGGTCGCTAATGCTCTATATCCACCCTTACCTCACTTGAGTTGCCGGCACTAAAACGCCTTTTTAAGATTCCGAAGACTACATCCCCATTTTGTCTCGACAAAGCGAGGATTTGCCTGCTTAGGAAGTTATGGTACGGAAAATAACCAAAATGCCTAACACTATTTCAAAGGGATTTATCAACTACTTCGAAACTAGAAATTTAGTCCAACTCARTTGATTASATTGAGTGAAAGGCAATTTTAGCACCTACAGGTGTTCAATAATGATGATTTTCTCTATTTTAATCAATATCCCACCATCTTATATTCGATTAGATCTACTTGTCTTTGAACATTGATAAAAATCACAGTGGTATTGCGGAAATTATAAAAACATAATAACGCACTCAAGTGGCTTGGATCGTCTTTTTTTTCCATATCGGTTATCGATCAATTCACGAACTGGACAGACTGGTCCAAGATAATAACATTAGTGAGATTTCATGTGTCTGCGACAAGGGCTAAAGCAGGACAGAAAGTATGTCATATGAACACTGAATACGGTCAATGTGTGCTAATGTTTGGCACGTTAATTATTGTACCATAGACATTTTGCTGTAGTTGTCTCAATAACCTTGATAAACCGATGTCTCTATTGTTATTTTCATTGTTAAAGGAATCTAACTGTTATAAGCAAGTGTCAAACGAAATTTGAATGACGAATTTACAAACATATAGTTATAAGCACTGCGCTCGGAATTTTACTCCTTGATAGAACACCGATGCTCGTTTTTGATATAGTACTGAACAAGTTTTGTGAGTTCTGATTAACGACAAGTTTATAAAGAGCCTCTAAATGTTTCTTCAACACATATTTTGTTCTTTTTTGTTTAATGCTTCATAGGTTTGCGTCATGGTAGCGTTGCTACCATCKTTCAGCAGTGTTCTCGGGAGATGGGACGYGCGCGGGAGAAAATGAAATCGCTTGTCTTCGTAATGTCTTATAATACATGAAAATATTTACCCATTTAGAATCAAAACATAGCTATGGGCTTAAGGTTGTATCGCGAAATATTGATATTGTGATGGCATTAAACAAAATAAATTAATTTTTTACATAACCTACTTTCTCACAACAATCTTGTTTTATAACGCTGGTCATAGATTGTGTAGCTTTTAGGGTCTACGCACGCCAATCAGAAGTTTCTTGAACGAGAATAGTGAAAAGTAAAATTAGTCGTATTGTTGTTTAAAATGGAGCTGCATTACTCAAAATCAAGTCGAACAAAAGAGTAATCAAAAGAAAAAGAAACAGAGAACAAAGAACATACGCGTGCAAAATWCACTAATCTAACAGTCTAAAATAAGAAACAGTGAAAAGACATTAACGTCTATTGAGTTGAAATCACCTGCAACGCGCCATAGTCCGTCAGATGTCCAGGGAAAATGAGCTATCAGAAGGGAAAAGTGTTTGATCTATAATCTTGATAAGTAGCAGAGATAACATACGTCAAGAATTTAAAATGATGAAACACACTAACAATAACACGATATAATTACTGTTAAGGCTATTTGATTCTTCCTAATGAAACTACCTTTTGTTTCCCAACCAGGTGAAGCCAAGCTTCCGTTGTATCCAGCCCAACTACTTATAAAACGCCAAGGCTTGATTTGAATCTACAATTATTCTAATAGAAAGACGTGGGATTTATCGCTTTGGTGAATTACACTATACATATAAACACACCTTTGGAAGATCTCTCAGTATAGAGGACCAGGAGGCCGGCAACACCAAGTGAAAAGTYAGAGAATTATAAATAGACAAACCGCACTATTCGAAAAATCATCGCTATCAAATAAGGTAAGCTGATTGTTTTTTACATTTTCCTTACTGAAATCTCATCAAAATATATTTCCATCGACACTTAAGTTAGAAAACAAGATGTGATAGCCAAGATTCAATACTTTATCGCTATCCAGAGATAAGTTAGTTATACCTGCCTCTGAAAGTCTTTATAATTTCAAGAAGTAATTTTTAAAAGCTACTGTATATGAAGTACCTATTTTTGTCACTATAGATTTAAGACTCCTATAATGTTCATTCTAGTAGTTCTTCAGTTTAAAGCAAAGGAACTTGAATGTTTCGCTGCAACGTTTTGCTTTGAAACTGTTGAACAATGTACTGAGCAACTCATAATAATACTTGTTCTAGTTTTAATCCAAAAATGGCGCCAAAAATCCCACCCYATTTACTAACTAAACGGGAAAATTCCATGTCCCAATTGACAAAGAAAACTTTCAGTTATRATACAGMAACGCCCAAATTATTTGCAAAATGACATGTGATTTCAAATAATGTTTGAGAGCTCAAACGAAATCATAGAACAAAATTAATGTTGATGTTTCTTGACAGCTATTGCTTCCGGTTGGTTAAGGCTTTTCGGTCGTCGATGAACGTAATTCACAAACAAGAAATTATTAATGTCGATTATTTCAGCACACCCACACTACTAAACGCCTTTTATGTTTCCTTTCTTTGTATATTAYTCAATAAAAGAAAAAAATATTTGGGGATATTCGTGGGATGTCCATGTTTTGATGCACAGGACAAACATGTCCATCCGAGTCAGTCCCCGTCCAAAATCAATCCTACATTGCATGTGGAAAGAAATTTGACACGGACAGATTGTCTTTAACTAGACATAAGTTAACAGGCTTTTCCGTAACCGAATTTGACATCAAGAAATTAATTTATCGCGTAATAATTTTTATCATTAATACTTGGGAGTGTCTCGATCTTTTTTCTTTATTCATTTAGTGAACTTTTATTAACAAAACTTAAAGATAACTAAGGTATATAAAATAAGAATTTACAAAAATTTTGCCAAATAAGGTTTTTTAAAACTTGCTGTGGATTAGAATTACGAACTGAGTTTCTCCCGCCGTGCACTGCGCTCTCGCGGGCGTCTATTTGTTTATCGGAACCTCGAGTTTCTGCGGGCAACTATCACAGCATAATGCCCTCTATTCAACTACTCTATTGTTTAATCAGTGCCAGTTTATTTGCGTCATGTACTCTTCCAGGCCATTCACACGTAATATATAAGGGCGGGATATCACTTTAGCGGCTGAAACTCGTCACAAGTCAACATTTATTATTTTTTTAATTCTTCGCGCCATGAACTGCATAGTTGTTCAAATCTGACTCTGTTCGACCTATTTTCTATCAGTGGCTATTTCAAGAATTTTTACAAACTACAACATATACTACGTAAAAACCAAGCCCTATCCGTCTGTGATCTATGCCTCATGACGTCAGACTACGTCATCACTATATTTAGAGATATATAGAATTGCTAAATAAGGCTAGCGTTAAACGCTTTTTAGTTTAAAGTATTTTGTTTTCCGATCCGCACAAAGTTGACCATTTAGTTGACCTTGGCTCAACGCAGCCTTTGTTCGCCTGCGTAACATGACTATTTTTACAGAGCGCGTGAAGAGAAGAAATATTGAAAAGATTGAAATATTGAAAGATTTCCACAATCATGATTTATATACGCTTAATTCATTTAGACATTAATTTCTTTATTGATCACATTATTCATTCATTCTTTTTCGAATTTATTCTTTCATTTCCCATTTATCCGTCCTCACCCATCATTTCTTTACGTTTCTGTTTGTTGTTGTTGTTTTGSATGTTTTTTATTGGCCTTGTTTATTTCCCCAGTTAGTTGAGTTTCATAGAAAACTTAGCTTAGGAAACCGCGATATTTTGGCTTGAAACAGAATAGTCTTCAACTAAGTAGACTGACAAGTCCCATGCACTGTAAAAGACGACTCATGTTTGACATGGTTCACCTGTCCTTTTGAGGGGATTAATCGGGGTTAGTTTCCGCGGTATCTTATTTATCTATTCGATAGGAGCACTAAAGATGAAGGAGATCGTTATAACAGTACATTCTTACAWGCACCCTGATTGGTGTGGCTTTTTTTCATCGGTGTAACGCATGCTCTAAAGGAACTGAAGCATATTTATCTCTATAGGTTCTGCATGTTCACGTGCGCTCTATTTCACACTGAGTTTTTTACAGAAAACCTTTCACGGTAAACTTAGCCTGCATGTAATAAAATGGTGGCAACATGTATATAAACGGRCAAGCACTCCAAAGGRTTTGTCGTGTTATGATAGTTGCCAGTTCAATTGAGTATATTTTGTTGTCCCTTGTGCTGTTGTCAATGTCAATAAAAAGTGATTTTATAAAAATCGTCTTCGTAAATCATAATTAACTTTASCTTTATGTAGCGGCAAACTGGGCAAGTTGCATTKTATTAGTTGCAAAAAAGCGCCTGGATTCGCTGTAAGAAATCATCAAATGAAAAAACTGCTTTACGATCACCCATCAATTCTGAACAAGGGAAAACAACTTTACTCCTTTAAATGACAAACTATGCCAAATGAGGAAACAACAGTTCAGTGTTTTATGTAATCCCAAAACAATTAACAATAATATACAAGATAGCGTTTTGTTTGGTATGATCGATTGACTATCGAAACGAAGAGTTGTTCTAAAAAGGTCTCACTTAAAACAAGTGGTCACTCTGTTTCAAGTGGGATTACTTTGACATCTGTATAGAAAACAACTCGATCATGATATTAGTTGGGTTCCTTTCTCATTTAAACCCAAGATGTTATCGCATCCAAATTGACAACCATACCCAAGTGGTATGGTCGACGCGATCAGGGATTGATAAACAGATTGCACCTTATATAGGACGATCCCCGACGATCCTTCGTTAAAGGCGAGGTTTGGAGAAATGAACGTTTATGTGCAGTGTGAATAGCAAGGGAAGCGGAATAGTGGATAGGACAATCGTGAACTGGGAAAAAAAAAAAGAGATTTGTGACTATTGTTGTTAGTTGAGAGTTTTGATAGGTCCAGGAGCTTTTATTAGTATTCTGTATAAGGACTTCAATAATAGCAGCGGTGATAGATTCCATACCGGTGTTACGGGCAAAATCTCAGGAATGCCGCAAGCCTTTTGACCCATTCTCTTTCGCATGCAAAAGCTTAGATTGTTATTTATAAACGCGTTGTAAKAGCATTATGATGAAAATCGCATACCAACTTCCAAATGATTATCATAAAGGTAAGAAATTGTCAAATGTTTGATTATTATTTGGTCTAACGATGAAAATCAATGAAAAATACACACTATTATAATAAAGAGAGAATTGTACAAAATCAAATAATAGCAGAGAATCCACGTAGCTCCGTAGTTACATCATCTAGTACTGAGAAAAATCTAGAGGAAAAAAACTCGATGTTTTTGTTTAGCCATGCTGTGGTCGGCATAAAGTTTTCGCTGATAATTATCACTCCTTCTTATGCAATCAGAAKTAATAGCCATCGTAAAGAAAAGAATATTCTTAATAAACGTACCGGAAGATAAACCATGAACCGGTGTATGCGGGCACTTTAATTGGCTAAAGAAAGAACGCGCAGTTGTTTCTCTATATATAGAGTAATTATAGAGTAAAAGTTGCCACCGCGAAGCCGAATATAACATAAACTTAAGGGCATTTCCTTAGATAGATAGTTTTATGGAACAGGAAGAATCCATGAGATGAATCTTTAAAGAAGTTCACTATAATTAAATCAACGGCACGAGTTGTCGCATGTAGTTGCGCCAAACATTTGTAAATGTTTTTACGCTTAGGAATTCTAGTCATCAAGACGTATCGAGATCCAAAGACGTGTAAACAATGTTTTGACTATTTAGACACGATAATTATTTCAGTTCAAGGACATTAGTCACCACTAGATGTTTACGCCTACTTCTCGGTAAATGATGAACAGATGGTTCTAATACATTTAATATTTTAAGATTTCATGCAGAACGGACTGATTGACCAAAAACGTACGATATCAGGTTTGCGTTTAGAGCTCTTTTAAGTTTTGGCTTCAGTAAACGTTCTTGTGCTCAAGATAATCATCTTTAATAAAGGACTAGGAGGTGTTTCCTAACAATCCACAAGGTTAAGTTAAAAGATTTGAACTCTTGATTCCAACAACGGGCCTGCGAAATCACATTTGAAAATTCGTAAAATTCCAAAAATTGTYACTGACATGTCAAAATAGGAATGCTCTTAACAACCGGAAATGAAACTTTTTTCAGTAAATAAAGTAAATGTAAAAAATAAACAGCCAATTCTGTTTGCACACTTAACGTTAACTATCCTCATTGGCAATATTGAACAAGACTTAAATATATTCATTGTATATTGTACATTTAGATTCAACTTTTAATCATGTACGAATCAGCTGGAAAAGCGTCGATCCCAACYATGCTCACTGCGTGGTTTGATATTACTCGATTGGAAAATATCGCGTGGGAACAGTTTTASCTAATTAAAAAGTACACCTCATYGTCAAATCACATTTGATACGTTATACATTTTCGTACTGCATTRAATTGARCTTTGCGACAGTAGCATTTACAATTGTGAGCTCGGGGCAAGTTTCGTAATCTGTGTTTCGAAATGTCCGAACTTGAGGATTAATMGTATCAATAAATAAAAAAAACACAACATCTATCTTTAACTGCCAATGAAACCACTTCCATTTAATGCAAGCCGAATGGTTCATGCATTAACCAATAGTTTCATCGGCAAAATAGGCTTGAAATGAGCACTGACGTCATGAACTGCTAATTGCAGTAAACAGGTAGTAGCTTGAAAACGGATGATACCAGAAATCGATATTCAGGAGGTTTTTCAATGATGTTGATTCAGTAAACTCCATATCAACCCTTCGTAACATCACAGGTCGCATTTTATGTCTGACTTTGAGTTTATGATCCTTTTCGGTTGTTTATGGCGTTTAAACGTCAAGGGCGTTGCCCAGTATATGTTTTGCTTACATTGTTGACAAGCCGAAGGGTCTGGGCGAATGTTATCAAAGAAATCGGTCAGGTATAGCATTTCGCCGGGGGGTAAATATTGTCCTAAATTCAACTCTTAGTGAAACTGCGGTCGAACAAAAGATCGTAGGCCGGCACAGTCAGCGATCGAGGCTGAAGTCATAGWACAAAAATACATTCACGGTAGGTTCACGATCGTTCGAAATTACCGGTATAAATCAGATTGAATGCATCGCGATATTTCTTGTTGGGTATAACGGGTCACAGACTAGTTCAAAAACACTTGACGTTCTGACAAGTCACGTGTGGCAAGTTGGAAGGTGATTTCTACAATGAATTTTGAGGTAGGACGGCGTGAGACAATTTATYACKATCTTGTTATCCGTAAATAACTCARCGAGTATTATGGATGCACTTTGAAATGAGATCCCATGATAAACTCTTCAAGGTCAAATTATTTTAAGAACATAAACGGCGGTTAACGGCGCTCCCGAAGACCGTCAAACTATTTCTAAAGAAAAGTGAATAAGAACAGCTTGGCTGATTTGCAATCCAGAAAAAAAAATTACCAATGGTTCCGATATGTCGATTAATAACACTTTGATCTAGGAAGCCACGTGTGTTTAATGGCGGAATAAAAATGTTTGGCACTAAAAGCTCTTCCTTCTTACACTGGCTGAACTTCAATATAATTGAATGCCAAATCTTTTAAAACTACAAAMATAATTGATTWATGACTCGACGCTATGAGGCACGCACTACTTTAACTATTTTTACTCTTCTTGTGTCTGACGCTAGTTTGTCTTCGTTTTCTAGATGTTTTGGTGTGTTATATTGCTGTGTGTTTCGTGTAGCGCACAGCCCGTCGATTTAGAAACAAGTGCTACGACAAAAAACGATGAAAGTGCTCTTATTGATGAATTGGTTCAACTAACKAAGTATAAATGGGAAGGTACAACCACGGTGGACAGCAAAAACAGGTAACTAGTTAACGATAATAATCTATTCATTCTAACCTTGGAAAAGAAAGAATCAATTCAGATAACAAACAACATCAAGACTTTTAATCAATTTTCATAAAAGTACCAAGGCGTGCCAAAACAGCAAACAGACGCTGGTATTACCTAAACGACACACAAGCAAACTTAACAGTCAAAGGAAAAGGAAGTTTTAGAGGATATATATAAATAGTCATGTTTCAAGTGGAATTTTTCATGATAGTTTCAAAGTTCAGTAAAATTGCCAAACAATCATGAATCATTTAGGTTTTCATTTCACCCACTCAAGTCATGTGTTCAGCAAACTAGGGCGGTTCAACTTTGCTAGAAAAGTAATTACATTGTACATTGAAGTTGATCGCTCTCAATTGCTGCCATTATGTTAAGTGTAGGATTCGTTATTGCTGTTATTGAACTATACATCTATTTTAATTGTTCTGAAAATCATTAGTTTCAAGAGACATATTAGATTAAAAAAAAAACAGAAGGCTCTCTACAATAAAAAAAACAACAACACTTAAGAAGAGTTTCTTTTAAATGTCTGGAATACATTGTACTTGCTTCGTAATTTATTGAACAAAATTGATAAAAAAATGTTTTTATTTGGACCGGTAGAATGCTTTACGATCAAATTGTTTGCAATGGCTTTAATAACAACATACAAAAAGCGTTTTGATAAGGTATTATTTCAACCGGCACGAGTCCATAGGTTAATCACTTTTCACTTSAACATAACTATTGCAATATAGTAAACGTCTTGATTGTTGTAAAATTGTATCCGGAATGGAAAATAATACTTCKGAGGCCTTCCATAATGAGATTTCTGTGAGTATTTAAAATGCTTTATACTCAACAAAATCCTATTAGGTTATTTTATTTTCGAGAATATTTTCGAAAGAATTGCGACGGTAATTATCCTCTTTTTCTGATTGCACACAGGTGTTAAGATTTCTTCCTTTTAAGCTAAAAAATTTACTGAACAAAATGTGCTTTCTACTTTAGATAAATCTCTGAGGATGTTTCCACAATAAATCACACACATTTATCGTTTTCAATTTCAAGATTGTTTTTTGCTCTCTTGGCGTCCATATMATAGTTCCTGAACGCGTTTTTCATTGTTGTTTAATCTATTGAGAACTTAAATAGTAACATTCACTAGAAAAAAGAAACGTTGTTTAAAAGGTCTCAATTGGAAAAAKTTTAAGTCCATTTGWAAGTTCCTGAGTTTCAAAGTGTGTTGCTTTTTCATTGCTTATGTCACACCTGTTAAAGTTGGYAGCGCATGTTACTCAAGTACTAAATAAGAATTTCCTTCTGATGTTGTATTGGTACTATATCTTATTGAAAAGACACTAGCGAGGCTAAAGAATTAAGTTCTGATAGTGCAGTCTTTTTAACGCCGCATAAAAAGGATAAACAAGAATAAACAGCTTCGGTTTTCATTACGTAGCTGAATTTTTAAGAATGACAAGTTACTCAGCTGGTTGCCAAAATGTCAGCTGTTGACAACAGTTTTTCTAAAAACAAGAATCAACTTCAACATTCTCTACTTTCTAAAAATAACGGGCTGCCTGTGTTAGATTAGTAAGAGAACAGGACTCTGCYACGCTGCCAGTGATCCGAGTTGGTGATCGATTGATCCRCTTTGTTGTTGCTCGACCAATGCCAACACGCCACTATAGAACAATTCTTCTGTTAAGTCATGTTTTCCAGTTATTATTGATAATTTGTCATAGAATATTGATTACCAATTTCTTTTTTCAGCATTTCTGTACACAAAAAAGAGAGAATATGGAACTACGCCAGAGATGCTAGCTCACATTTAAATCCCTGTACACTTTCACAACAAGAATGGGAAACAGCGAAATATTTAAACCAAGATTCATACGACTTTCATCCTGAATTAATAACAGTTAAACAATGCACAGGCGTAGGCAACAATGGTATCTATAAGCAACAATGTATGAGACTGATGGATTGTGTCACTCAATATCAACGACAAAGATTCCTGCGAAAGCCCAAAGGTTCATCGTGCATGAATTGGCATAAATATGAAGAAGACATACCAGTGGGCTGCGAATGTATGATGCAATCATAAAACAAATTGACGCGGTACAGATTCAATCGACCTTGTCGCGAAACAGGTTGCTAATGGCATGGACGGTRGACGAGAATGTATAACGAAGAAAGAATAACAATGTCTTTAGCGACAAAGTTCATTAAATCAGTATCAATAAATTCACATACTTTTATTTTTTTGGTAAATTAATATTCTTGTATTCGGGAGATAAAAAAAGGACTCTGTGACGTACATATYAGGTGATCAATGTGGGATTATAGTGCGTGCGCGTGCGCTGTTGTGATTTCTTTCAAAAATCGACAAGAAACTCGCATTGACTTTTAACTTAATTAATATTTTGTGTCCACTATTTTTTCTCTATGTTCTATYTAACGGCACTCAAAACGGCTATAAAATACAATCAGCTAAAAAACAAACGAGCAAACGAATTCAGTTTCAATCTCAAGCAGAAGGTTTAAAGGTTGATCAAGGCGTTTAGCCGAAAACTAAAATCTTAACTGAGTAAAACCGATACAAGGCCATGATAACACACGATAACTGCATGGTTTATTGTGTTATTTAGTAATTTTTGCTCAATTCAATTGTATAAATGTCATCTTTAATAATCATAATCATAATAATGATGATGACGATTAATTCATAGAATTTTTCATCAGTGGGAAAATGATATACATAGAAATGAAACTCAAATATTTGAGCATTGACGCTGATTAAAGAGTCCTTTATTTGACTTTTTTTGTTCATGCTATCGTTAATACATATTTTAAGGATAGTAACAGAACTACAATTGTAGTCTCTTCCACAGGCGACACTTACATTAAATTTACATCATTTTGGACACTTACATCACTATATYTACATCAAATTAATAACCTTTAAAGTGCGCGATTTTTTCCATTGACATGGAGCCCAAGAGTAGTAAGACACCTACGGAAGAGGCCATGATTACCAACCAATGAGTACCGACAAACCAACTACTTATTATACATACATACAATCAACAAACCAAGMCAGAAGACCAGCCCCTGACTAACCCCCATTTACAAAACACACAAACGACCAGAAAACAACTGAACCAACAACAAAACGAAAAAAAATAGCTGATGTTTTTTTCAATGTTATTCTGAAGCTTAATCGTCTCTCTTTTTCTTTTTGCAAGGTTCCCTGTCATCACTTGACAATCTTTTCATTCTTTTCATCATATCTTCACTTTGATGGGAGTTGTCTTTTCGAATATTCGATAAAAAATCTCCCGGCGGCCATTCAAGTTCTAAATCGTCTTCACTGATATCATCTGTAGTGAAGATGCATGTCCTTGCTGTTGATCTTGTTTGTGATGTTGTAGTCATGTTTGACAATTGACTTGTTGATGTATTGTTTGATGGAGATGTAACTTGGCTTTGTGTTGGAGGAGCCGGGGCTGAYTTCCGAAAGAGGCTAATAAGTCTGTTATTATAAGAACCTTTCGATTCAGTATTGCTTAAAGATTTGTCTTGCTTCGCACTTGTCGAAGTTGTCTGTGTGGTGCAGTTATTTTGACRAGATTCTGATGAAGAATGTTCGCCTTGAACTGGAATATTGTCTGTAATATTTCCCTCGTTAGACGTATGCCTTTCTAAATGTGATGATGGAGAAGGGACTTGACTTGTAATTGTTAAGCGTTCTGGATTTTCTTGATCATGGTTGCCTTGAACAACAGGGACAGTGYTGCAACCATTTTCAATTCCGTTCGCAGAACGACTAACTATCGTGTTTGAATTTACTAAGTCAACACTTTCATCGAGATCAAACGCTTGCACCAACGGACTTGGAATATCTTCATTTTGAACACTATTTTGAGATTCTTCTTCATTTTCACAGATTAGCGTTCCTCCAGAACTTCCCTCACGTRAWTCARCAACATTCTCACTTTTATCGTTATTTGAAATCAATGTTTCGAATAAATCGCTCAATTTCAGTCGCTTTAAAATGAGCTCTGCTTGRATTTTGAATTCCTCCTCGGGATCGTCAGGGAATTTTGTATGAAGTGCATTGGTTGATCCAAGCAAGGCGGTATTYTGCATAGAGCATTCAACRCAGGTAACAGCTACGATAGCATCTTGTATAGTCACTTCATGACGGCACATCAGTCGAGCGTGAGCTTGTGCTAGGCGGATAAGACTCTCAAGAAGTCTCAAGGTTGTCCGAGCAGCACTTCGTGAATCTGCTTGCCGTTGACTATGGTAATAACGACTTAAAACCCTAAAACAGATCCATTATATATMAAATGGCTTTCATAACAGCCAAAGTACAATACAATGTGATAAACCGAAAATACRACTGAAGAAAAATGAGCACAATAAAGAGGGCTAAAGTGTAGTATACTAAAGTGTATTTCATGCGTAAATGAAAACCACTATAAACAAAGCTCTTTATTTACGACTTTATGATTTCAATCTCACTGAAAATGTCTTTGTCAAAGAATCATTGATATCCATGGWTCCRAAWWWWTTKSSKTTTTKGKWAMTYYKG